TATATAGATATATATATATATATAGATAGATAGATAGATATATAGATTTATAGATAGATAGAGTTGTTCAAAGCATTTTGACTACTGAGGATCGTCATGAGGCGTGAAACATTATGTTTAGTATAATTCTTTTTTAATTAAATGTGAAGTTTAAAAACTGAAATAGAGAGATAGATAGATAGATAGAATGATAGATAGATAGATAAATAGATTGAAAGATATATAGATAGATAGATATATAAATAGATAGGTAGATAGATAGATAGGTAGATAGATAGATAGATAGATAATAGATAGATAGATTGATTAATAGATAGATAGATAGATAGATAGATAGATAGATAAATGGATAGATGGATAGATGGATAGATAGATAGATAGATAGATAGATAGATAGATAAATGGATAGATATTAATGCGGAAAGTAAACACAGTAGTTTCAGTAGAAGTAAACATTTCCATTTCCATAACCGCCGATTGAAGGATTCGTCTCTAATTGGATAATGAGATAGATAGAAAGATAGATGTTACCGCCATTAAATTTCTATTGGTTCAGAATAGACAACAAACACATTACTGAACCCTAATTGGATCAGGCTCTAATGGACTCGGCATACAGGAGTGTAAAGAGTAAAAAGAATTCCAAATTGTGCCGTACAAGCATGAGAGATTTGCCCAAGATAATTTCATGAATTAAATTTATTTCACTAACTAATGTGTACAAATGATTGCATTGTGAAACCTGATATGCAGCTAGCCTAAAGGCATGTATCAAATAAACAATTATCGAGTTCTCTTTTTGTTTAATACTGCAGAGCTGGAAATTGTATAGTAGATAAAGAGATTAATGGTTGATCTACTCTTTTTGTTAATCTGCAGATCAATTTAATCTTTTTATGATATCCATGAAAGTGTCTAAAATTCAACCAATCAGAGTGTTCTTTTGCAGTACTGAGATTAGAAAATTAAAGTAGAGATATTATATTTATTATCTCAACATGATTACTCCGTTAAAACGACTTTTTATCCAAAAAGATTGATTTATAAAAATCTTTTACATTTAATGGGAGTGTGCAGTAAAACGCCTAATTTAACAAATTGCCCGATAACTAAATGTAAAAAAAGCCCCATAAACTAAACGTCCTAATTTGTTAGTGAAAAATGTACTTTAAGAAAGGCTGAACAAATGTTTGATTTTCGTTCCCCCATTAAATTTGCAAATGTTCAATTGAATTTTTACAAAAGTATGAAACATATCATTTGGCAGACCGAAAAGTTGCCATTTTTGTAATACATCCTATTACAAAAATATCATAGTATCAATAAATTTAAAGGGAGTGTTCGCGAAAAATGAAAGGGGGTATATGCTTAATGCGATAAAAAAAGCGCTTTTGATCGCTTCTAATCTTACTTCTATCTGTTGCGTCTATAAGGAGAAAATTGTTAAAAACGACTAATACCGAAGAACGTAGTATCCATACAAATTCGGAATGATGCAACATATGACTTAGACCGTAAAAAAAATCTATTTAATTTCAAACAAATCATTCAGATATTACACCCTATGGTCATCGATTATCTTTCGCCACATTTGTATATAGTTGATTTTTCATAATATGTTTTGATTTTATTTTTTAAAATGACATTTAGCTTCCAACTTGTTTTCGAACATTCCTGGAAAATATGAAAATGTCGTCTTCATTACCAAAAATCCTCGTAACAGGAATAAATGTTTTTATAAGTAACTCTCAGATCATAACAATTAAAACATATTATGAAAAATCAACTATATACAAATGTGGCGAAAGATAATCGATGACTATAGGTTTTAATATCTGAATGATTTGTTTGAAATTAAATAGATTTTTTCATAAAGAAAAGAAATTTAATGAAAATCCAATTTTCCTCTTCACTTACTTTTGTAAATGTTTCGGAATTCCTGTAAAATTTGCTATTGTGAAAAATTTGAATGAAAAGTCCATTGTAAGTGTGAATAAATAGTTTAAAATCTTATCTAAATTGACAATATTCTTTTCTAACAGAATCCGACATTTTGGAATTTTCTCCATTTTCTTGAACTTAGAAACAAATACAAAACACTTTTTACACAGTAAAAAATTAAAAGATCGAGTTTATTTCAGTGTCGCTAAAAAATCGTTGAACGACAGAACATCGTCATTTTTACAACAAAGTCGTGGTTAGGATAAAGCTGGAAAAGTCGTCTTTATTTAATCTTCTATAATGGACTAGTTTGAGAACCCAGCTTTGCCTGAAGTCAAAGTTCTCTCTAATATTACAAAAAATATAAAAGCTTTAGCAATGTTTAAAGTAAATACACTTTCAAAAGAGAACTTTTATTCCTTGTTTTGCCGGTTAATATCAAAGGAATCACATTATAGAAATAAATTTATGTGCTTTCCAGAGTCAGTTACATTTTTCCATCATATGAGGGTCACTTAAAGATACCCTTAACTCTACTTGAAAAATAAATTATTTAAGGATTTGACAACCTACAGCCTACAGATATAAAACCGTAAATCTCCTTAAATTATGAAATTTAGTTTTGTATTGTTAACTTTATCAATTTATTTTTTTTTTATTTTTTTTATGAAACAAATTAATTGATGATTGTATTTAACGCAGAATGTAGTTATAATCATTTTTCCAATCTTCCTGTTTCCTGACTATCCTGTTTTGCTCAGTTTCGAGAGCTGACCAGGCAATTTGTAGTATTTCAATATCAGCTCTTGAATTTCTGTATTGTTTTTGATATCGGCCATCTATGCAGGTTTATTGCTGACATTGTTGTATAATGTGAACTTCCCTTTGTCAAATGCATTACATGTATCAGTGTCTTGCAGTAATTTGGTAAGAATTTAGTTTTGTATAATTCTTTCTTAAAGTGTGAAAAGAAGACGACTTTTAAAACTTTAAAAAGTCCGATGAGCATGAGCCAAAACAATTGTGCAGCATAAGCAGACCCGTTTCACTAAATTAGTGATTTTACAAGGGGTATTGACTATTTGCTTCGTTACAACACCAAATTATGTACTGCTACAATTTCGTCTTCATGTTTCATTGTTTTCTGGTTATCACTGTATGATACTGGATAATAAGGCTGTTAAAATGACAACCCCAGCCTAAAGATAAAAAGTATACCTCCTAATTCCTAAAATTATGAAATTTTCTTTTGAATGACAGAAAACAGGATCTTGTTTTGGCATGATCTGACAAATAGTTTAATCTTTTTTAAATCACTGACCATGCATGTAGGGAGATGACATTAAAAAAAAATCCAATATTTTTTTATTTGAACATTTTTTAAAATAGCGAAGAGCTCAAGGTAAATATTTCTAGAACAAACTGGAAAAATTGTAAAAAGTACATAAAAAATAACAGCTGTTTTCAATTGTTTAAACTCGCATCGGGCGAGTTCTCCGCCGGATCAGATTTCAGTTTAAATCCCTTCTCCGTGAGATGGTTGCTCTAAATATACCAAACTCATGGATCAAACTATTCATCCTCGGGATACTCTGCCTTATCCTCCTCAAGCTTGTCCTCGACGGCCGGCAGGCCGAGGAGAGCTTGTGGCCGAAGACGATTGTGAAAGGGACTGTTCACTTAAAGACGTTTTTATCTATGAGTGAACATATGAAATGCGTGACAAGTTAATGATTTGCATGAAATCAAGATGTAATATAGTTTAATCTCAAAATGTAAAATAAGTAAATTGATTTAAATCCACGAATTTGAATTGTTTAACAAAAAAGCATGGTCAGTCATGTAATCTTTCTTTATTTTCATTCATTTACTTCTTTTTTAATCTTTTTCTCGGCAAAATAATGAACTTTTTACATATTTACTTGGTTAAAGGATTAACTTAAAACGAAATGAGGTCAGAACTTTTGTATTGTTAATCTTCATCTTGAGCAGACATACGGATTAAATTGATTCGAACATTTCATGCGGATAGTGTTGTTGTTAATCGCTTTGGTTCGTTTTTTGAATGTATGTTTCTCAGAGTTAATTTGCGGAACAAAATTAACATTTTCCAAAATGTTTTATTCTAATCATTTTCTTTTTTTTAAAACTATGCCCAATTTTGACCTTGAGAAAAAATATAGACAAGAAACGAACCAAAAAAAAGGGCGCGTTAAAACGATAGTTTTGTGGTTCATATATCAAAGTTTAATAAAAGCTAAATAAACCGAATACAGTTATGAAGTGTGGGTAGTTTTATTAAACGTTAAAAAAAAACAAATTTACAACACTAACCTGCAGGATAATCAAAACGTTAAAGCGTTGAAGATTAACGTAATTTCACACAAAAATTTTATTTTCTGAGGATTTTAATCTCAAATAAATGTTTGTACACTTTTTTATTTAACAGTAATTTCAAAAACTAAAACCTATTTTATAGAACCAAAATTGTAAATTAAACTTAAATCTAAAGATTACGAACAGTCCCTTGGTAGACGAGGATAATGTGAAACACTATTACGATAGCGGTGACCACCCGTTCATATTCATAGGAACCAGATTCAATTCAAATCAAACTTTTTCTACGCAAAAACTCCGTATCTCCATAGACCCATGAAAAGCGTAACTAAGTGATATCATACAACTTATGCATTTCAATTTTAATCTCTTTTAATGGCAAACTCAGTTTTATTTAGAAGGGGGGGGCACAAATAAAATAAGAGTTTTTTAAAAGAGGAATGTTTATATCTTACAGAAAACATGAGAATCGAATTACAAAATTTATGTCGCATTTGATTTCCATTATATTTTGCATAATTAAAAATCTGTACCAGCAAATATCGATAACATTTGCGTACTCACTTAACATATTATAAGGCCGAGAGTATCTACGTATCAAAGCTTCGTAGAGAAGGCTGCACTACCAATAGAGAAGCTTACTTTAAAAAAAAAACATTTATTAGCTGTCTCTCTATTGTACTCTGTATGTGGACCCTTCAAGCTTTTTCAGAAAAACTTACTCATGGGTTAGATGTGGAGAAGAGACAAGGATTATTCCTAGGATACTCCAGGTATAGATAAATACACTAGGACTCATACTTCTGGGTTAGATGTGGAGAGGAGACAAGGATTATTCCCAGGATACTCCAGGTATAGATATGTGCACTATAGGACTCATACTCCTGGGTTAGATGTGGAGAAGAGACAAGGACTATTTCTAGGATACTCCAGGCATAGATAAATACACTAGGACTCATATCCAGGGTTAGATGTGGAGAGGAGACAAGGACTATTCCCAGGATACTCCAGGTATAGATATATACACTAGGACTCATACTCATGGGTTAGATGTGGAGAGGAGACAAAGATTATTCCTAGGATACTCCGGGTATATATATAAACTAGGACTCATACTCATGGGTTAGAGGTGGAGAAGAGACAAGAATTATTCCCAGGATACTCCAGGTATAGATATATACACTAGGACTCATACTCCTGGGTTAGATGTGGATAGGAGACAAGGATTATTTTTTATTTTAGGATTCTAACAATTATCATGATTATATCTAGATGCGGGATAACTGGTATAAAAGTGACCTGGAGAAGACAAGATTAGACCAAGCCGGTGTAGATGAGTCTGTGGTTGATGCTGCTGTCGGAGCATTCATCCTAGAGGCGATAGCTAAACATGGACATCCAACTAAGGTTCAAAAATAATTTTTCAAAAATCAAAAAATTCCAAGTTCAGAAATTGCTTAAAAACAAAACCTGAAATGAAGTCTCATATAGCCAAATAAACTCTGATTTGTATTTCCTAGCTCTGAATGAATTTAGGTATTATGTAACAAGGATCCCTTGACCCTAAAACATGGAGCATACATGACACAGCTGTTTCCTAAATCAAAATGGCTGTTTATGATCAGAGATGGTAGGGCAGTTGTTCACTCTGTTGTTACTAGGTAATAGAAATACCCCCTTCAAATTTCGACCCTTACAATCTCACCCCAAACCCATCCAAAATTCCTTTAAACTGAAAGGTTTAAAGGGACTGTAAGCGTGATGTTACTTATGACCCTACGTGCAAAAATTACAATATCCGATTCACAACGATACCCTTGAAAGCTTTGGCTCAATCAAGTATGAATTATATATTCATGTTTTTGTTCCATTTAAATATTTATTTTCAATTGAGGTTTCTTTGCAAAAGTGACTTGTGTATTTCTTGCTTTTAGGAAATATCTGAATTTAACAGTTTTCGAATCAGAAAAATAACGTTTTTCCCGCATTTTTTATCAGATTATGGTTGCAAGGGTATCTGCAGTTTGAATCGGACATTACCATCATTGAATAAAGATCCACGTGAAATTACGTTTACAGTCCCTTTAAAGTTTGGAAGTTTGAAATATTTGAATATTCAAGGTGGCGCCGAAAGTTAAAATAACTGAAAATTATCAAATTTTAATTTTTTACTGTTTTATAATTGAGCTCATTAAATTTTGGTGCTAATATAAACCCACCGCTGCAAGTTAAATATCAATTTACAACAAATCTCTTATTTTAAATCGAAATTGTAAGTAAAAATTCTTCTAAATTTTAACGTAACGTATTTTTCATTCATTTACATTTTAGTAAATAACACCCATGTTTAAATTGCTAAAATAAAAACCTTGAAAGAATTTCTAAACAAGGAAATGAAAAAGTGGTTAAAAGAATCCCTTGAAGGAAGATAGAGAGTTGGGACCCGTCCCACTACTATTTCAAGTTTAAAGATCACCCTGGAGAGAGTTGAGACCCGTACCACTACTATTTCAAGTCTAATTATTACCCTGGAGAGAGTTGAGACCCGTTCCACTACTATTTAAAGTTTAAATATTACCCCGGAGAGAGTTGAGACCCGTCCCACTAATATTTCAAGTTTAAATATTACCCCGGAGAGAGTTGAGACCCGTCCCACTACTATTTCAAGTTTAAAGATTAACCTGGAGAGAGTTGAGACCCGTCCCACTACTATTTCAAGTTTCAATATTACCCTGGAGAGAGTTGAGACCTGTCCCACTACTATTTCAAGTTTAAAGATTACCCTGGAGAGAGTTGAGACCCGTCCCACTACTATTTCAAGTTTAAAGATTACCCTGGAGAAAACATATTTCAACTTTACACCCAACTCCCAGTTCACAACTTCACAAGTCAAAAAATACAAAAATGCCAAATTTTGCAATATGCAAATCGCAAGACAAAAGTTATAAAAGTGCCAAATTTTGCAATGTGCAATTTTAAAGAAAGAAATTGAATTTCGCCACAAACTCTGATTGTTTTATCCCTATGTAAATAGACACAATAATTGGATATAGTTGGATAACCTTATGTTTATTTATAAAAGTGACAATAACTGGATATAGTTGGATAAACTTCTGTTTATTTAGAAAAGTGACAATAACTGGATATAGTTGGATAACCTTCTGTTTATTTATAAAAGTGACAATAACTGGATATAGTTGGATAAACTTCTGTTTATTTAGAAAAGTAACAATAACTGGATATAGTTGGATAACCTTTTGCTTATTTAGAAAAGTAACAATAACTGGATATCAATTGGATAACCCTTTGTTTATTTAGAAAAGTGACAATAACTGGATATCAATTGGATAACCCAAGGCAGTGCTTAGAGAAATGGAACACTGTGATCACGAATATGGATAAGCAGTGTCAGGAGATAGGGCCTGAGAGGTGTATGGTTGTTTACTACGAGCAGCTGGTTCTTCATCCAGAGGTAGTTTCATGATGATCGGCCGATAATCAGCTGTTTAATAATAAACCGGTTATCAGCAGGTAATCAGCTGACGATCAGATGGTGATCACTGAATCATAACTTGTAACATTTTTTTTGCTAATCAATCAGCAAAGAATCAGCTGAAATCAGTTAGTAACTAGCTGGTAATCAGCTGGTTATCAGCTAGAAATCAGCCAGTAATCAGCTAGGAATCAGCTAATAATTAGCTGGTAATCAGATTATAAGATTATGATTAGCAGACAACGTTATATTAAAAAGTTCCACGTAAATCTTATGAAAAAATGTCTTATATTTGGTTTGGTATGATCAAATGGGATGAATCCTAAGGAATTTGATGATGACAGATTATAAGTTTGATTGCTTTCTTCTATATAATAAAACAAGACATTCGTATATAAATTCGTTGCGTATAGCCGGCCAAACGGCTGGACCGATTGGGCTGAATTTTTTTGTGGACATTCATGGGTGGCCGGGTGTGTTATAGGCCATAAAACGAACTTTTTAAATTTTTTTTTATTTTCACGGGCAACGCCGGGACCTTCAGCTAGTATTTAATGAAAAAAAAAAACAATGAATATGGCATCATGACAAATAGACTCTTTGCTTACTAAGTTCTAATTTTCTATGAGTTTGAAAAATTGTTGACGAATGAAAAAGTGAATACATGAATGAAAAAGTGAATACATGAATGAAAAAGTGAATACATGAATGAAAAAGTAAATACATGAATGAAAAAGTGAATACATGAATGAAAAAGTGAATACATGAATGAAAAAGTGAATACATGAGTGAAAATCTAAAAGGATATGAATGAGCAAATGTGATAAAGGGATATAAAAATGGGTGAATGAAAGGATAAATTATAAAATAAAAGAATGGATAAAGAACTAATGAATTTATAGAGATGGATGACGATAATTCTTGATTTCCTGGATCTCCCCTGGGACTCTTCTGTCCTACATCATCAAGATTTTATAAATAAAAAGGGAGACAGCGGCATCAGGCAAGAAGAGTACAAATTAAACAAAAAAAATGCATAACAACATTTCTTAATTATCTACAACGTCAACATAAAAAGCACTGAGAATAAAACTTTTAAATGAAAGGATTAGCTAACTATTTTCTTGAGAGAGTTATTAACCAATCTTTCATTGGTCAAATATTTGTAAACTTGACAACTGTATTCACATTCTTTTGACTTATCATTTCATTTTTGATATAACAACACTAATTAAAATTAAATTCTAAATCGATGAGAATCTTTAAAATCTCTATTTTATGTTTTTGTTATGAGAAATTAATAAAAAAAACTGATGCCATTCATGAAGCAAATACCCGGGGTTTTCTCTGACGGCCTGTACTGTCTTGTTTGGCGGGTAATACAGGCATTGTCTGGTTTTGTTTAGAACGTTTTATATCCAATTTGGTCTATTTCTAACACTCAGTGCTAGAAATGGGGCAAGTGTTAGTTTTGGAACTAATATCCCCTGAAATAAGGGAATTGTCGGTCAAATTTAACTTAATAATGCAGCTATTTTTAAAATATTACAAATGTCTATTGTTTCTACATTCTTCTATTACAGGGTGTCTATAGGATAAATGTTCGTCTATTGCAGGGTGCCTATTGTTAAAATATTTCGCTGTTGTTGGGTGTCTATTGTTTTAACATTTTTCTATTACAGGGTGTCTATATAGTTAAAATATTTCTCTATTACAGGGTGTCTATTATTTCAGTATTGTTCTATTACAGGGTGTCTATGAAGGAAAGGTCCTCAGATCAAATTGTAAAACCGATCAATATTGAAGCCCTCACCCAATGGGTTGGATTCTATTCACAGGTTAGGAATGAAAAACTTGATCAATTATTTTTACTTCTTGCAATAACATTTTATTATTTATAGCTTACAAGCTGTGCAATAAGAGAAGTTTTCATGAAAAAAGTGTCAAGGGCGTATACAGGGGGGGGGCAGGGCGTACACAGGGGGGTGGGCAGGGCGCAGTGCCTGCCCTTAGCCGTTTATAATCTTTTTTATTACACTTGAGTTTCTATAACTTTAAAGGTTCAACAAAAACTTTCATATTTTTTTCATTTCAGACATTTCGACTTGTTACAAGTATTAAAAATTGATTTTTTAGATTTTCTAATTTATTCCTGTGTTTAGGATGTATTAAACGATATGGCTGAAATAGCTCCAATGCTCTCAACCTTCGGATATGACCCTGAACTAAACCCACCAAACTACGGTCAGCCTGACGGTCAAGTCGTCAACAATACAAAGTAACGATTTCATCTTCATTTCGTTAGAAGCTTTGTCACAGATAAAAGTTTATGTAAAAGTTTGAAGTATATTCATGCTTGATAAGCCAAGATTTGCTTATGTATGCAAGTCAATAAGTCGGCTTTTGAAAAAGACTATTTTTTAAATTTAGTTGTTAGGATTTATACAAAAAAATAAGGATAGAGAGGTTCAAGTGAGAACGAACCAATACCTGACAAGTGACAATTTTGGTTTCGCCTGATCCTTAATCAAAGGAATTGAGTCTTTGTCACAAACTCAAATTTTCTTATCTCTATATCTTTGCAACATGATGATGTAAACATTTGATATTCATAACTTAGATTATTTGATCTAACAGAATTCATAGATTGAAACATCTAAGGTCTACGACATTGGGTTGCAAACATTTAAGGATTAGAAAATCAGAGTTGGCGACGAAAACTAAATTCCTTTAAAAGATCTCTAAGCATTATTCCTTCAACCCCCCCCCCCCCCACCCCCCAGTCTTTCCATCCGCTACAACTGTGCTTACGATTCATTCCAGCTATAGAAATATAACTTAAAGCAAAAAACTAAAATCACTTTCTAGAAACTTCTCAGGTTGTACAACAAAAAAAATACAATTTACAATTCATAATGTCGATGATTTACCATTTTCTAACAATTCTTTTGTTAAATATTAAAATTCCAATATTAATTTAGACCCCCAAAGTGTAAATTTTGGGACATCCTGTAGACTGTGTAGACAAAATCCTGAGTACAATTACAAAGTTTGAGAGAGAAACCTTTTATCTCTGCACATATAGAATAAAGTTGGCAAGCTTAAATAACGATCAAAGGAAGAATTCTATTTGGTTTTCATATTTTAAAGTTGGGATTATTTTCTATTTCTAGGCTAACTAGGGGGGGGGG